GGAAAAGTCAGTTATCACAGCGGGGGAGGGGGGAGGATGAGACATTCAAAGCTCACAGCGAGGGAAGCAGGTTACTAAGCTGAGAAGTACAAAGCAATGTCACTTGAGCCTGCATTTGGGTTTGACAAGAACGAAGTCCAGAAGTAAGGGGTGGTGAGGAATGTTTCCTTAGGCAAAATAAATTCTGGAGGCCATAACTGGAAACACCTGAGGTTTGATTATATCAAAATGTAAAACTTCTTTATAGCAAAAACACCATAAATAAATTAATAAAACCAGGCATCAGGCTGAGAAGAAATATTTGCAACAAATGATAAAACGGTGTTTTAAATATTCCCAACAAATGATAGTGTTACTGTCTGCTCTATATAAAGAGTTCTTAGAAATCAATATGGAAAAAACTGCCCACCAAAAATCCAATAGAAAAGTAAACAGCAAGTATGAATCAACGGCCACTGAAGATAAAATGTAAATGCTCAGTACGAAAAGATGTTGAACCTCACGAGTTATTAGGAAAATGCAAATTAAAACAATGAAATATTTTCACCCATCACAGTGGCAGACACCAAAAAGATTGCTAACACCTAGGGTTGGCAAGTGTCAAGGAAAAGGCATTCGCACATTCTCTGAGCATCTGTTGGCCAACTGGGTGGAGTCAGCAATACCTAATGGGAGGGGATTTGCAGGGGTGGAGAATCCCGGAGTTAAACAAGGAGCAGCCTAAGCCCTCCGTGTAATTAGAGCCTTCTCTCTTGCTCTGCTGTGAGGCAAGAGGGGAAATAGGAAGCCCTGGCAGAAGGGACCTGCCTTTCTCGGGTGTGTAAGAATCAGTCAAATCCTCCCTGCTGGTGAGAGAATTTGCGTGCAAGGGCTTTTAGGCAAAGCCGAGGTGGCAGTTCTCTGGAGATTCCAGAAGAACTGTGATGAAATGACTGTGAATAACAGCAACGATTAGAATGACACTTATTTTGCAAATAAAGGAAAGGCTTGGAGAGGTGGTAAGTGGAGGATTTGAGACTCAGACGCAGATCTTTCTACCACTCCAAGGAGTCAGGAATTCACTTATCACATGCAAACAAGTCTGTGCTGTTGAAGTCAGCTCCCAGAGTTATGTCTGGCATGTACTGTGTACTCTCTGTGTATCCACACTATGCTAAGCCCTTCATGTGCATTCATTTCATTCCATCCGCACCACTAGCCCGTGAGGCAGGATCTATCATTTGCAACCATCTTACAGAAAAGGAAAGTGAAGCTCAGAGAGGTTAAGTAACTTCCCCGAGTCCCACAGCTGGTTAGTGGCGAAGCTGGACTTTGAGATGCGGGCCGTCCTTCTACAACTGATCTATTAAAACTGTGTGTGGGTGACCCATTCAGTGCTTGGAGTCACATAAAGAAGTGCGTGTCTGGGGGTTTAAAGGTACATCGTATCTGGAGAAATTGATCGACTTTAACCCTAATGGCAGAGACCTCAGAGTTACACATGAGCAAAACATGAAGTTAGGCAGACTTTGTAAAACTGGTTTATTCCACAAACTACCTGTCAGGTAAGTCACTTAACCCACTATTGATTAAGGGATTCTGACTGTTGAGCTAGACTCAAAATGGGTCTTCCTGCCTCTGTAGTCAGCATGTGAAAAGATGTCCAACCGCACTAATAATAAAAGAAAGGTGAGTTTAAACAAAATACAATTTGCAAAGACTAAAAAGAGCTATAATATCCAGACAAGAGAGTCAAGAACAGAAGAAAACAAAAGCCGGCACCCACGTAGGGAGCCTGTAATTGGAACGGCCGCGTGGCTACACGTTTCCAAGTTTTAAATGTAGATACTTTTGGACTCAATGATTCCTATTTGGGGAATTTATCATAAGTGCCCAAAGATATGTGTCCAAGATAATGCAGTATAATTTATAATAGCAACCCAAAAAATAAATAAATAAATGATAAAAGAAAGAAAGGAGAAAGAAAAAAGGAAAGAAGGGAGGGAGGGGGAAAGAGAGAGAGAGAGAGAGAGAGAGAGAGAGAGAGAGAGAGAGAGAACCTAAGTCTATTATAGGAAGCAAGTTAACGAAAATAGTTTAGCCATAAAATGAATATCATGTAGCCTTGAAAGAGAACAATGTAGGCTGTCCTTCTACAACTGATTTCTGTATTTCCATGAAAAGACATTATCACGTGGAAAAGGTCAAATACAAAACGCTATAGGTAGATAAGTGTTATATGCATGAATTAGATCATATTAGATTTTCCATATACATTTATGTAAATATATATTTATGAAGCATAAAATCTTGTAGGATTTATACTGAACTGCTCACAATTACTATTTTTGTGGGCTGGAGGTAGAAAGGGGAAGTGGATATCACTTGTTATTTTTTATAATTTTTTTATAGCAATCATGAATTAACAGAAAATATGTTTCTATGGAGAAGCGAGGTTGGAGGAAATCTCTACAGAGTCATCTTGGCACGATTGGGCCATTAAGGCTCAGCCCAAGGCCAACATTGCAAGATTTTAAGATTCAGTCCACATAGACCCTCACACTCCATATCCCATTCACTTCAGGGGAAATTCTATTTGATGACAACACTGACTCAAGTCCCCCTGTTCAGATCTTTCTAATCAACATTGAGTGTATCCTATTGTAGTGGATCAGTCCAAAGTCTTCCTCCTGGACCAACCTGTGGACATCCCAAGGGCTGGGAGGATCGTATTCATCCTCATGTCCCCATGCCCAACATGGGACGTCACGTACAGACAGCATTTCATTCATTGAACAACTATTTCGTGAGCACCTACAGTGCACTGGTTGCTAGAGATACACAGGTGAGCAAAAACAGATTTGGCCTGGTGTCTGGGAGCTTACAGTCCCACTGGAATTTGTTGAATAAATAAATGAGTCACAAGTGAGTGACCAGTGAGATGAACGAACTTGGAGGGTAGGGAGAACTGACCTAGTGACTTTGTGAACCGATACACAAAAGCACTGGCCCGGAGCAGACGAACCAGCCTTGTCTCAGGGAAGTGGTTTTCACATTTTTTTTTTTTTTTTTTTTTGCCATTGGAATCTCTTCTCAATAAACAAGAGAGAACAATGATATTACTGTAAACTCTTTCATAAGTTCAATTTAAAGTATTTACAGATCATGCGATTTACGTAATTTTTATGGACAACATAAGTATTTGGCTTATTAAGATCACTTCAGGTATGTGATGTCTTTTGAGTAGTTTTTCAATACTCAAAATTATAATAAAGATTAAATTCAAATAAAAGATTTACAGAACTCTGGAGTTTGAAAAACTTCTGGAAGTAAGAGTATTATTTTTGTTTGTTTTGTTTTGTTTGAAGTAAAAAAGGGAATGCAACAAAATTCATCCAGTAAGTATTGAGCACATTCAATATGTCAGGTACTCTTATGTAAACTTAATATTAATGGCCTCAGGGATCACAAGGAACCACGAGATTAAGGTCAGGGGAACAGCCATGATAAGTAGGTAGGTAGGTAGGTAGGTAGATGGATAGGTGGGTGAGTGGATGGCTGGATGGATGGATGGATAAATAGGGGATAGATGATAGATAGATCGATAGATAGATAGATAGTTAGAGATAAACAGTCATGTCTTTGGCTTATTAAGATCAATTCTCAATAAAATCACATATCCTGAGTAATTTTGGCCTGGGCCTGCCATGCATAGGAGCCCATTGAATATGCTTTGTGAATCAAATGATCTCCCCGAGCTCGCTGCCTCTTCCCTGGGCCTAGAAGTTGTTCCCGCGTCAGGGAGCTCTGTGGGCTCAGTTATTCCAGGATCAGGATTTCCTACTCCCCAAATCTGCTTTCCACATACAGGCCACGGTCGGTCCTCAGGTCCTGGGTGGAAATGAGTGGGACAAAGGGAGGTTCCCTGCTGTAGGTATGTTCTGAGCTGGAACATTTTTGGACTGTGATTGGGCAGGATCTCTCATAATTCCAATTGTTTCTTTTAAACCTGCAATTACCCTTCCAGAAATGACTTTTACCCACACAAATCCTCAAAGACGTTCATTGAAGTATTGCTTAGAATCGTTAAATATTGGAACCAGTCTAATTGTCCATTAGCTAGGACATCGATTGGTTCAAATTAACCAAAGGACATCCATAAAGCTGGATTCTGGGAGGCCATTAAAATGAACAAGTTAGATCTTTATATCACTGATGTCCATAACACTAATTAGGGGATCAAAGGACGCCTGGAAGCACACAGGTAGCATGATCCTATTTGTGTAGAACCACGTAAGTATTGGTTTATACTTGTCAAAAAATTCCCCTCAGGTATATGCTAAAATTTAAACAGTAAGTTTCGGAGAATAGGCATAGATCCTTCTGCACCGTTTAAATTTCTGTAACAATCATATTGTAATATGCTGAAATCATACATGGGGAGAAATGACTTTTTAAAACTTCTGGCCTGGCTGTCAGAGGCAGGCTGAGCAAGGAGGAGGAGGGACACAGTTGTCAGCCCAAGTGACCACACAGCCACACTGACCCAGCTGAGGCTCCATAGCTTAAGGTCCTGAATCCCAAACCCCAAATAAACCCCAGGGTCCCCCTAATACTCCCTACATCCAGGAGAAGGGGAAACAGCATATAATGAGGGTCACTCACATTTCTAAGAATCACCAAATCGGTGACCCTTACAGGAGGCCAGCAGCCGGAGGCCAGCAGCAGGAGGCCAGGGCAGTGTCGTATCCCAGGAAGGGTCTGGATTTGGGGTCCCACGGACCAAGGTTTGAAACACACCTCCACCACCCGGCAGTCGGTTTACTTGACCTCTCAGAGCTTCTGTTTCCTCTTCTGTAGGATGGGAAGGGAACTTTGCCTCACAGGGGTGTTATGAAGACTTAGATGACATAGACCCCTGGCACATAGTAGGCCCTCAGCTTGGTCCCCTCATTCCTCAGCCTTGGCCCTAAGACACCAATGGCCCAAACCTCTCCCATCCCCTCCTGGGACTCCCATACCTGCAGCCCAGGTCAGTCCAGCGCCAGGCACAGCGCCCCGGCTGCCTGGCGATGCGGGCCCGTGGGATCCGGGGACATGGTGAGGCCAGTGACACCGGGGCCAGCCTCTTCATCTGGGCGGCAGGGAGAAGGGCAGGCTCTGCCATGGGCTGGAACCCTCACAGCGACCAGGCCAGCCGCTGCGCTGCTGCTGCTGCTGTGGAGCTGACTCAATCGCAATTCGAGAAGGAGGAAGGCTGCTGGGCCTCTGTGGCACCTGTGGCACGCCCAGTTCCCAGACACCCCCACACCGGGACAGTTGTCCAACCTCCTCCCTGGCAGGGCTGGCTCAGCCAGGGCCACCTACAAGCAGACACACACACACACATACACACACACACACACACACACACACACACGCACCCCTGAGCCCTGCCCACCTGCCTCCACTGAGGTAAAGTAGAAATAGCACCTTTAAAAAACTGTCATCAAATACGATTTGTATTGCCATTATTATTACCTACAGACAACTGATTTTAAATAAAACTACATTAATAAAATACCTAATGTGGATGGAAAAAATAATCTATTACCCAGGGGTCTTTGCCTTGGCTTGGCCACAGCCTCTGTGCCTTTGAACAGGTCTCCCACCTTCTCTGAGCCTTGGCTTCCTCCTCTGTAAAATGGGGACGGTGACATTTGCCAGGAAACAGAAAAGCAAGCCAGCAGGAGTGTGTAGAGAGTGTGAAAAAGGCAGAGTCAGTGTGGGGAGGGAGGATGGAAGCTAAGGGAGCAGGAAATGGGAAGGGCCTCCCTGGGAACCCACACGTAGCCTGGAATGATTTTTTTGAGGGTTTGTTCCTCCTGGCTTCCCTAGCTTGTGTCCTATTTCTATATCTGTTCTGGGCCAGAAGTCTCTACACTGTTCTCTGGCTGGGACAGAATGTTGTGGTCTCCCCTGAATTGCCCTGGCCCAGCCCGCCCTAGTCTAAGGCTCTGGGTGTCAGTGACCCTCCCAGGCAGCGTATTTGCCTTTGCACCAAGAAGAGCAGCCCCACGGTGTTCCTCGAGGAGGGGCGCAGATCCACAGGAGCCCAATAACCGGAAGTCGTCCTCCTGGAGACACAGCGCCCAGGACTATGCACAGTCCTGGCATCAAAATGTGGGAAGGGGTCCACAGGACAAACGGCCCTCGGGAGCCCCAAGTCTCGGCAGGCCGTCACTGGCTCTCACATGCAGACTAAGGCTGTGCAGGTGACCGACTGTCCATGTTTCCCAAGCTTCCTCCTGAGGGGGGAACTCGGGAACCACACCACCAGAAGGCCAAGCATCGGGGGGTCCCATTGGTACACAGGATTTCCCTCTCAACATGCAAGTTGAAATAGCAGTAAAAGTGGGTAGAAAAGTACTTTGGAAGGAATGAGCGGCTTTGTGCGGAAAACGTGGTAAGTACTTAATAAAGGATGGATGGATGGATGGATGGATAGATGGATAATGAATGAATGAAGAATGGATAAATGATAGATGGATAGGTGGAAGAGTGAATATGTGAGCATGAGTGAATGAATGAAGGCATAGAATCAGTGAGCCATTAGGTGAATGGATGGATAAGTAAATGAGTGAGTGAATAAATAAATAGATGCTTGAGTGTGTCAATACATTCGTACCTGAACAGAAAATCTTGACTTTTTTTTTCCCTTGGAAGGGAGAGAGAAAGAGAGAGTAGCCTCGGCCTTTCAAGCTTCTGTAAGGAAGCACCGCCTCTCGGCTTCCTGGAGAGCCGTGTGCTGACAATGAAGTGAAGTGTGTCCACTCTCTGGGCAACATTCCTCAGCCGCAGCTGGCCCGCTCCCAGCCCTGGAGTATCGGCCGGGCCGGTTGGGTCACAACAGAGTGACTCAGACCTGGCGGCCCTGAACCCTGGCGGCCTGCCAGCACCTCCCCGGGCAGCCTGAGAGCCAGCCCACCCGCTCCCTGTCAAGAACGGTTCATGCCCCTCAGACCCAGAAAGCTCAGCTTTTCCTCCCTGCCTTTCTATCCCTCCAAGCAGGTCCCACTCCCCACTGCTGTGTTGTCATGCCCTGTGTGATGTAGTGGAGCCTCCTATAGGCCTGGGGTTGATCCTCGGTTCTGCCACTTAGGCTGTGTGACTTCATGCAAATGCCTTAACTTCTCCGAGTCCCAGCTTCCTCATCGTTTCAATGGTTGCGAGGATTCAGTGGGATAACAGGTGCCGAGCACCCAGGAGCTTTTCTTATGGATACGATTTAGGGAGCACTGTGTTCGGAGCTTTACGTGTGTTACTACATTCAGTTCTCACAAAGAGAGGGTTAGGGGATGAACTGTGTCCCGCCGGGATTATATGTGCAAGACCTGACCCCCAGAGCCTCAGAATATGACCTTCATTAGGAAACAGGGTCTTGACAGGTTATCAAGTTAAAATGCCCCCCTTAGGATGGCCCCTAATCCAGTGACCGGCCCTTAAAAAGGGGAGAAATTCGGGCCGAGATAGACACGTGCAGAGAGAAGACAATGGGACACGCAGGGAGCAGGCCCGTGAAGGTGGAGGCAGAGACTGGAGAGGCACAGCCACGAGCTGAGGAACATCTGGAGTTGCCAGAAGCTGGAGGAGGCAAGGAAGTTTTCTTCCCCTGCGGGCTGAGAGGGAGCCTGGCCTTGCCAGCACCTGGACTCTGGACTTGCAGACTCTGGAACTATGACAGGCCTTGGAGATGTGTCACGATGAGAGCTCCACAGACCATCAGATGGTTCCTGCTTCTCTGACAGTCCCTGCAGCGCCCCCATCATGCCATGGCGACTGTCCTCCCAGCTCCCTGAGCTCGGGAGACGTGTACACTTACTGTTCCAAGTTTACTTGTGTTCACTGCAAACTTCGACACCACAACCTTAAGCTGCGTTGATCCAGTCCAGGAAGAGCCAGGGACATTATATGGATCTTGAGAAACACATCTCAGTTAAGAGTCAGAAAAATAGGCTGCTTCCAGGCTGTGTGACTTTGAGCAAGTTACTTAACCTCTATGACCCTCAGTTTCCTTATCTAAAAATGGAACCATGACCCACCTCACCAGGCTGTTGTGAAGATCAAATAAGACGACATGTGGGAAGCACTTAGCACGGTGGCGGACACACGGCCGTGACTGCTATATGGGGGTGATGTCTCTCAGGGAGCCCATCACTAGAGAATCACGGCGTGTGTTTATCAGACACACATGTACACACACGCACATCTCCTGTCTAACAGGACAAAAGGCCAGGAAGGGGCCTCCAACCACACCCTCAGAGGCCCAGGGCCTCGGCCCCCCACTCAAAGCAGGAGGGCATCTCCCCATGGCCCCCACCACCATCCAGAGCTGCTTACCTGCCAGGAGCCCTGAGGAGCTGTCTCCCCTGCCATCTACCAAAGGTGCTTCTAGGAGTAGGCCCAGCCGTCCTCCGCAGAGCTTAGCTGTGCTCACTTTCCCCGTAGGGACTGAGCTCCCCCTGGAGGCTCCTCCAGAGTGCCTGGGGACTGCGGGGGTGGGTGGTGACTCCCGTGGATTTTCTAGGTCAACGCTGAGGCTGGACAATCCCTGACAGCCCTTGACCGCACGGTGGGGGACAATGGCCAGCTGAGCTGTTCCTGGGACACCACAGAGCAAGGTGGTTAGAGAAAATGCCAGACAAGCCAGGGAGAAGCTTTGGCCATAGGGAAGTTTGTTACCAAAAGTGTTTATTCAATGCCGGGAAAACACAACATTGACAAAAGCTCATCAACCGGAACAAAGCATAGGTAGAAAAAGGGGTGTGTGTGTGTGTGTGTGTGTGTGTGTGTGTGTGTGTGTTAGGGGGTGTACAGTGGGCCAAAGGCCTGGAAAATCAGGCACTTTTCTGTACACTCTCAGTGTCACCTTTTGCTAAGACAACTTGGCAATATCTGCAAAATGTAAATGCGTAAATCTTATATGCAACAATTTCTCCCTTCGGGATTTATCTCGTAGATAGAAACAGACTTGTATACAAAAGTGTAAGTTCAAGGGCGTTCGCCGCAGCCTTGTTGGTAAGAACAGAAACCTGGTCCAGCACATTCAGTGGGGCTCAGAACCCAAAGGGTGGCTCTCTCACCACACAAAGAACTCAGACCTGATCCTGGAGACATGGGGAGCCATAGAGGGCTTTAAGCAGGGGAGGGACATGTTGGATGAAGCAATCAGACTAATAGAACAGAAAGAGCAGAGCCAAGGAGACCAAAGTCTGGGAGGCCAGCTAATAATTTAGGCTCCATTCTCTCTCCTTTGGACATTTTAAATGCCTTGTGGTGGCTGGTGGGATGTGAGGTGAGAGTAAAAGGGGATGAAGGTGATACCCAGTAATACCCAGGGGGACCTGTCCCCTTCTCCAGCCCTGGGTACCTCTGGGTAGCCAGTGGGGGTGAATGGAGAGATTGGGGCTTCTTCAAAGTGCCTGCCCCAGGTCCCCGCACAACACTCCAACCCTGGAGTCACAGGGCTTAGGTTCAAATCCCAATTTGACCATTGTGAATCAGCCATTTGGTTGACTACTCTGTGCCTTGGTTTCCCCATCTGCAAAACAGGAATAACCAAAGACCTACCTCATAGAATCTTGTGATGGTTAAAAATGATAATGTGTATCAAGCACACAGAAAAGAGCTCAAGGACACAGTGAGTGCTCATTAAACACTTACTGTGGTCTTAGCATAACTAGGTATATATGGTAAGCACTCTACAGATATTTATAAAACCAATATTTGTTATTAAAATCAATCTGAAGGCTAATCAAGGAGAGGGTTTGAAATCAGCAAGATCGACCGCCCAGCCCTTTGAACAGATGGGAAGGAGGGTCAGGGGTCCCAAGGGAGTTGGGGATGGCTCAGGTTGGTGCCAGGGCTAGGCCTGGGCTCCATGGCCTATTGAATGAATGGACTTGGCCAGGCCCAGCACATTTGCCAGGAGTCTCCTGAGCATCAGAATCCCCCGCTTTCTTTATTACGGACCCACATCCTCTGGCCCAGCCCTGCCCTAGGACCGCCTCTGAGTTCCGTTGGCCAGCTACTCCCCGTGCACTGCTTATACCATCTTCACAGACTTGGGCTTGTGGGGTCGTCTGTAATGGAGAACAGCTGGGTCCTCTGGAGGCATTCGCGTGTCCATTGGTGGAGGGGATGAGGTGAGGGTCTGAGGGAAAGACCTCATTTGCCAAAATCCTCTTTTCTCCCCGGCGAGTCTCTCCCATCCGCTTCGGCCATTGCCAACGCCCAGCTGACTCCAGGAAAACCAAGCTGGGAACAAAGGGCAGGCTGGGTATAGGGACAACAATGGAATGAGAGTAAGAGAAGAACAGATACAACATGGGGGTAGGGAAGGCTCTATATAAATGGGACAGAGTTCCCAAGCAGAGTTCAAATATCTTCTTTTTTTAACCCCACTAACTGTACACAAACGAGACAGGACACATCATACGTGGGGCCCAACGTTAAAAAGTTCAAGACAGCGCCAGCAGAGCATTACACCAAGCACGAGTCTTCCAAACGTGGGACGTTGTGGGACCACACAAGTCACACCCCATGGGGCCAGCCCTGCACACAAAACTCTGAGTGCATGGGCATGTGTGTGTTTGTCTGGGGAAAGGGCCCTTCGCTGTCAAGGTCGTGACCTGGAAAGGCTAAGAATCACTGTAACTGAGGGTGAGTGAGGGTCCCTGCTTCTCGCCTCCACCTCCTTCCTCCAGACAGGCAGGGGCTCCAAGCCGTGACCCACAGTGGGCAGAGTAGGGACTTAGTGACATGTTGATAGTGCTGACTTAGCACAGGCTGTGGTGCCTCTGGGAACAGAGAGAAGTACACGTGGAGAGATGGAGGCTGGGGTGGGACTGGACGTGGGGTCGAAGAGAAAGAAAGGCATGAGGCTGACTCCAAGGTGTACGGCTCAAACGACTAGACCCATCGATGGTAGTGCTGTTCATGGAGACGGAGAAAAGCTGGCAGAAGATCATGTGTTGTGTCTTGCTCTGTTGGGCAGCGAGCGAAAGGAATGATAATAATAATAATAAAAATCCCATCCTAGCCATGAAAAGGTGTCATATAGATAATAGAACTCAGAAGAAAGATTAGAGCAAGATACACACATTGGAGGTCATTGGCATAGAGATGGCGTTTGACCCATTAGAATGGATGAGGTCTCCAAGGTGTGCAATGAGCACTGGAGCTCTGTCATTTTGGGCAAATTACTTAACTGCACTGCCACTCTGCATTCTCATTTGTAAAATGGAGGTAAAAGTCATATCCTCTTTGTAAGATTTCATAAATGAGCTTGTAGAAGGGAAATGCATAGCGCAGGTCCTGGTACCTAGTAAGCACGCAATGAGTATTAGCTATTATTACTATTATTATTACTATTATTATCATTGTCATCATGTCATTCTTTCTACAAATATCTGTTGAGCCCTCACTATGTGTCAGGCATTGCTATGGGTGCTTTGGACACATTGATCATCGAGCAGGTCAGGAGGTGATCAGTGCTTTATCTTTGACAAAAGGAGGAGAGCATAGTAAGGGGGTCATGGAGCCGGGGAGAGATGGCTATATTAGAGGGAGGTCAGGGGGACCCTGCTGGAAAAGAGAATTTGAGCAAAATCCCAGAGGTAAAGGAGTGTACTAGTGGACGTCTAGGGGAGAAGGGCTCCAGGCAGCGGGAGCAGTCAGTGCCAAGTCCCTGAGGAGAGTTGAGGGAGGTGAGGTCAAGAAGTGAAAGGTAGGAGGACATTTGCAAGAAAATTCTTCATGGCAGAGGTGGCTGGTCCTCCAACATGGCAAAAACAGGTCTCGCACACAATGGGGCAGAAGCTTCTCTGACATGGCAGAGGTGGCGAGCTCTCCAATATGGTGAAGGGAGCCGGCTCTCCACATGGCTGGCTGCCCAAGGCTGTGGGCAGGTTCTGAGGCTGCCCCCCTAACCCCACCTCTCTGAAGGGCCTCACCTGGCAGAACAGGCTCACCAGCCCGGCCTCTCCTCCTTTTGGTTATGGCGTGTCTTGTCCCAGTGAAACTTGGCTGGGCCTTTGCTCCAGGGCTCCCAATCAAAGCATAAATCTGAGTCATTTTCCTCTGAATCTGTGGAGGTATGAGACAAGGCCCCTTGGGTGGTCACATCCTGTCTCCTACCCTGACCCAAAAGAAGTCCCCTGCCAGGCCTGGGCATCCTTGAAGCCTTGTCTGAGGCCAGGGGACCAAGGCAGAGTCATGACATATGGGACAGCCCTGAGACCTCAGGAAAATTTCATAGCATTAAATGTGACCAGGGATCAAAAAAAAAAAAAAAAAAAAAAGGTTGTTCTGAGACTCAGAAAGTGGCCATATCCACCTACAAAACAGGGAAGGACCCTAGAGGTGAGCAAATGACTACCTGTATTGGGTGTGGTCCAGAAACAGGGCACCGAGGAGACACAAACCATCCATTTGTCCACCAGTCCATTCATTAACACATATCTAAGTACATATGTACAATGATTTCCATTTCAGCACTATTTTGTGGTAAAACACACACAAGCAATAAAACACTCTGGAAACCATGTGCATGCACGTCCATCATGAGAGGTCTGGATGGCTGACGTATGTCAGACTACCACCAGATGGACACCTGGCCCATCATCCAATGGCATGTGTCAAGAAGCTGTTGAAACAACTGCATTTGGTCTGTATCTTTCCCCTTGCAAGATGTCTGATGTATTACAAGCAAGTTGTGGAGAAATGTTTATGGTAGAATCCCTTTTTTGTTTTTTTTGTTTTTTTTTTTTAGAAAAACAACACCCCCTCCCCCATTTTTTTTTTAAATTTTTTGGGGAAAGCCTACATGCACCATTAAACAGGTGCATGAGCTTGCTGATATGGCTTACCTTGGGAAGGCGTGGTGAAAAAGAGAGGAGGAGGGGAGATTATTATTTTTCTTACAACGCCTACTCGTTTCACTGGTTGCAGAGAAGTAATGGAGGCTGAAGAGAGCCCTCAGATTGCAGACCAAGAACAGGAGACGGATGAGGCTGAGGCTCAATGTCCTCATCTATAAAATGGGCATAACAGTAGCCTCTTCTATGAGGCGGGCTAACTGAAGTAAGACATGTAAAACAGGTGTTCAACAATGTTGGCGGTTATTATGAGTTAAAAATCAGCACAATGGTTTGGAGTGACTGTTGTTCTCTAGACATCGTGATTATTTTCTGACACATTCTATGTTCTAAGTGTTTTACATGCATTTTCTTATTTAATCCTCTTAACAACTTCCTGAGGCAACGACTGGTGTTATTTGAGTTCTGTAATGAGGAAGGCTCAGGAAGGTGACGTCTGGGCTCGCAGCCAGGAAGTAGCTGTGCTGGACTCAAACCTGCCTCTCTCTCCACAGTCCTGGGTAGTTCTGTTGGGTGCACCTGTTGGAAGCCTGGGAACTCAAAGGCAGCTTCAAAATTAACAACTCGTTCCAAGGACCAGCATGAGGGGTGGGCAGGACCCTCAATGGGCATGGCCTATGGTGCCTACTTCTCTGTTTCAGCCTTAAAGTCCATTTCTTTGAAGGTCTTCTTTCTTTCTGCAATTTCCTTTCAAATTGCAAAGGAAATATCCTTGGCAGTGCATACTCTCCTTGAAGGGCATGTGTGGCTTCATCCTCACCACGCCCCCCGCCACGTGATGGCTAAGGACTACTGTTGTCCCCATGGCCAGCTTCCCCAGGGCTCAGCTGCCCACCATCTCTCCTTGCCTCAGTGCTGCTCGGTCTCACCAGGCAGCTCCCTCTTCCTCTCCACTTGCTCCCCGCTCGGCTTGGGAAATCATGTCCTTGAGGGCCACATGGCACTTGCTGGTCAACCCTCTGCTTCCTGGGCCCAGAATCTGCCCTGCCAAGCAGGCCAGGCAGGGGTGGGGAGGCAGAATCAGAGCTACTCTTGTCTGCTTTTCATCCTAGTTTCCAGGCCAAAGTGACTCCATAGCAGACTAGGAAACCACAGGCTAGGGTGTTGCAAGCCCCAGATCCTGGGGTTTGGACCAGTTCCCGGCACAAGGACAAAACACATGCAATGATACTGAGAGTTCCAAGAAGACAGGCACTCTGAGGGAGGGCTGCTAACCTCACTTTAAGGACAGTTTCTGTCCATTGCAAAATTAATAAAAGGGCTTATTTCTTAGTGCCACATAAGGCATCGGTGGGTAAACAGCCACTCAGGAGAAAGTGTGAGAAAGGGTGGGGCAGGGCAGGTGGCGGATGGCTTTAGAGCAGGGCCTCCGAGGAGAATGAATTACTGGAGACTAGTTCCTTAGACCTTAGGTAAAGTGACCCCACTTCCAGAGAAGCCATCCAAAGCCACTCCTATACTTCCTCCTACCTTGACAAAACCAACATTAACTGGATTACTTCTCAGCCTACAAGCACCTACTATGTGCCATGTGTGTGCATATACTGTGTGCCCTGCTGTTGATGTGCATCTCTCCACAGCCCCAGAAGTAGGGACCAATTATTATCTCCATTTTATAGATAAGAAAACTAAGGCTCTGAAAAGACTTGCCCAAAGCCACACAGCTGGTAGGTGGCAGAGCCAGACAATCAGCACTCTTAAGTATTTCATAGGTGTATGACCTTGGGCAGGTTGCTTCTCCTCTCCAAGCCGGTTTCCTCAATTATACAATAAGCATTACTTCACAGGGTTACCCCGAGGACTAAATGAAATAATACACATCAAGTGTTTAACACAAGGCCTAGTACACAGTGTTCAAAAAAAGGTTAGCTATTATTATGAACTACTAAGGGGCAAGGCTGAAATCTGCGCCCACATCTTCTAGACCCTGGACAGATGGCTTTTATAGCCACCATACAGATAAGTGCTGACCTCCACCGGCCACCAGCCCGATGCCTGAGATGTACCCCTCAGGGAGCGTTGTGGTTCATCCTGAGAATGAGGAGATCATAACTTTAAACAAACATTTCCTGGAAGGTCTCCCAGGAACTGCTAATAATTCTGTCATGACTAGCCCCCACATCTGAAGTCATGGGGCAGGTTAGGGAGTGAATTGCTTATCCTGTCTCAATGCTATCTGATCAGAGGTGGCAGCACCTGCCCAGTAGGCCAAAGGTTATGGGGCTGAGGAGCAGGTGGGAGGTCAAGCAGTCCCTAGGAAGAGGCCCAGGGAGACAGGATGCCTGACACCTGACAGGGCAGAGTGTCATTGTGCCATGTGGCCAGGCTGCACCCCTGCCTACCAGCCCCCGGCTTCCGTCTCGGCCAGCTATGCCCTGCCTCCTGCTTTTCTCGGTGGCGCGCTGAGCTCATCAGTGATCCTATGTCTCAGAGAAACCCAGATCCTCTCTGATGTATGGTCTAGGCAGAAAACAGTGTGTTACTGGACCTCTGACAAATACCCAAGGCTGCCATACCCCACTGTACAAGTTGTTTATTGTACAAAATCACTGAGCTGAGGGGGTGAGGACTGAAATCCAGACCATGCTCTGCTCACTGAGCCTTGTGCCCTGGCTGCATTCACAGGAAGGGCATGTTTTACTAATTCATCTACCCAAAGGTCCACCTCTTTCCAAAGGCCACTACTAACACCGAAGATCTTATGTGCTAGCAGTGACCCTAGCACAGATGTGCACACATAACATATTGCCTCCTAGTCAAACTTGGGGACTCATTCTTGGGATTCCAGGTTAAGAAACTCTTATCAGGTCAGTCCTTTTCTCTTTCAGGTACCACCTGTCAACTCTGAGCCAGCAATGAAAATGCCCAAAGGAAGTCCCTCTCTCTGCTGTAGTTTCTGGACCCCATGCCCAGCTCCAGGATTAGGGCCCCACCTGGGCAAACTCACCTTGGCTAAGTAAGAAGCGAAACCAGACGATCAACAAGAACAGCAGCAAGGCCACGGGCAGGCAGAGCCAGAAAACCAGGAAAGAAAACGTGAGGTCGTTCACCAGCGGCACCAGAGGGTACTTCATGGTGCATATGTGGCTAAGCTGGGCCAGCCTGGGCTGAGCTGGCAGGGCTGCCCCGGGGACCTGGTGGGCTGGGCCATGCTCTGCCTTCAGCCCAATTGTGACTGAGCCGGTGATGTAACAAGGAAGTCACAGTGTCCTTCAGGCGAAGGGAGAGCTGTTTTGGCTGAACGGTCAGGAGCCAGAGCAGTGAGAATAAATGTTGAGGCTTTCCAGACGGGTAGGCCTGGGTATGAATCCCTGCTAAGATGCTATTGGGTTCCTCTTGCAGGATGGAAATCTTACCTCACCAAGCTTCCAATAGTTAGAAAAGTAAGTGCTGGAGTAAACATTGCCCCCAGGTGGATATTCATAGATCTAAGGTCTCAAGATTCCTCCAGGAGCCAGCCCGGTCCCCAGTTCCAAAATCTTGGCTACATGTGCCCACATTTACACTTTGTGGGAGTGGTGGGAACTGTGCAAACTGGATGGAGCTTAGTGCATCTAAAGCAAGCAGATGTTATAGCTCCAGCCAGTAACTGAAATGTGAGAAATGCAAGTTCAATATTGCCAGCTTTCCTGACTTATTCCAAGAAAGCCAAAAAATCTTAAATATTTATGTGAAATTTCCCAGTTTAAAAATGTTGAACACTAAAACATTGTTGGCCAAATCAAACAAGTCTGCTGAGCCAGACTGGGTCACTGGGCTGCCATCTAAAAACTTCCTAACACATAGCAGGTCCTCAGTAAATGTGTATTTAATCCGGGAGCCTCAGCACCTCTCCTCATTAGGGTTTTCAGTGAGGGGCCTTTAGGCTTTAACCCTGTTCCTTTATCTCCCAAGTGGGCAAATACTCCCAAATGCCATTCTTATCTCCTCCCACCTGGCCTGTCATTCATTCATATACTCATTCATTCATTCATTCATTCATTCATGAAGTAGTTAGTAAACCTCCATGTGCCAGGCCCTGTGGCAGGAAGGACGCTCTGGAACAGTCCCTGAGCTGGAGGGGAACTCCGGCCAGGCTGGGAGCCTGACTAGCATGGGAAGCCCACACCAGGAAGGGCTGCTGCTTGTGGAGGGAAAGGCAGAAGCGCGGTATTCTCCAAGAGGGTCCTCGGACCACCTGCCTCGGCTGCTGCTGGCAGGTGGGTGGGAGCTCGCGAGTGCTTACGAAACATGCTGATTTCCACACTCGCCTTGCTCCCTCGAGTCAGAACCTGTAGGGATTGAGGCTCAGGACTTGACACAGTAATGAGCAACCAGTCTGATGCAGACTTAATTTTGAGACCACAGCATTTTGTGGAGCACAGGTTGGAAAGCTGGGCAGACCCAGCTCCAGGATGGGGGAGTGGCTGCCAAGAAGTGGGTGGTAGACCTAAAAGAAGTCATGGGGTAGAAGGACTCTCTTATAGGAAGCCACCAGCCCAAAAGGGCCAGCCACAGTGAAAAACGGAGCGAGGAGAGCAGGGGGTTAGAGGGCCAGTGGGTTTAGACGTGTCTTAGCCCAGCTGTGGGATGATCAAGGTTCCCAGAAGAGGTTGTCTGGGCAGATGGTATTAGAATGCACATCCAAGCAGCACAGTGCCCCGGTGGGCGGGCCACTCGAGGCCCAGAGGCCAAGACCAGGAGCTAGGTGGTCTGGGTTGGGGTTAGGGGTGATTTTTTGGCACTGGGTCCTGAAGGGCTGAGGTCAGAGAGAACTGGACAGCACAGGTGGGAAAGGTTTGAACACACATTTTCTTGCCCGATGCCAAAACAGGGCCACTGTGCAGTCAGCCCAGGGAACATTCCCTGGCCACCAGGGCACAGCTGGGGGTCCTGTGATGAGCAGGCAGGACACGTGTGAACACACACCTGGGAGGCAGCTCCCAGGCCTGGCTTCCAGGCATAGTTCAGGGGGCCACACACTGATGTCACCTGGAGTTAGTGCCAGGCTAGAGGGGCTGGCTCTTGGCAAAGGCACACATCACTGTCTCCCAAAGTGGTACAAACCCTGCACCATGTGTGATCTAGGCGCTGAAGTGTCAAACTGGACCCATGGAACCCTCTGCAGCCAACCCTACTTAAAGGGGTAGAAGAGGGGCCGGCAACCTCTCTCCCCATCCCTGACTGGCTAGCCCTAGGAGTCAGATTTTCTGCAGGCAAAGAGTATAGCTGGCATTTCTGTGTTCCCAAGACACAAAGACCCGCCAGCCCTTGGCAACTGCTAACTTCTGTAAGGTGGGTCTCTGCTGGCGGTGCTTTAATTAAACACCTTCTAGCATAGAGGGCCAAATACTTTTTTTTTAAATTAATCAAATTTTAAGTATTGATGAAAACTCTATAAAACTAGGGTGAAAACCCACACATCTGAATTATGAAGGGCAGCCAGAGCAGAGCAGAGCAGAGCAGAACCCCTCTGGAGAGAGTAAGTAAATCAGGAACACCCATGCAGGAATCCAACGCCTGGCCTGTAAACAAAAGCACACACGCTGTTAGATAAGAATCTCCTTAAAATTTAATTGACTAAATGTATTACATTCAATATTCCATGGGTTTCTTCTGGACAAAGGATCGGCATAAATACAAACGAGCCTCTGGGCCTTCTTCCCTAACCAACGAAGAGAAAACACAGGAGGCGGGGGACACGGGTTCACCTTCACATTTACATTTCGCCTGTACAGTTCAGTGCCAGCAATATTTACAGAAAATACAATAAGAAAAAGATGTCTTGGCAACATACCGAAATTCATACAAACTGTATATATGATTTCAAGCAAATAATGATACTGCTTATTTTTTAGCCACAACCGCCAAGCCCTTCGGAGGAGATGCTGTTGGTCACTGCAAGAGACAAGGACTTGGGAAACTTGGTTTTCTTCAACAAATATTTATTGGGCGCCTACTATATGCAAGGCACTGTGGAATCCCAAATTATACCTTTTCCCTCACCGTTAAAAAAAAGAAAAGCATCTGAAGAACATGAGTTGATACTGAGAAAAACACTATACAGTACATGGCTTCTTTAGCTACTGAGGACCCACAGTCTGATTCCACACTGAGCGAGTGGACTACCTCCAGTCTCTCCACCTCAGGACAAGAGGCTGTCATGGAAATCCCTACAATAGTTCACATAATACAATTTACTGTTTCATGTAAACATAAATCGATTCTTTTTAGGAAGCTATAATGTGAATGGGTTTTTAAAATGCTGAATGGAGAACTACTGCCAGCGGGAGTGTCAAATGACCTCTGATACATTTTTTTACCACCTATCACAAAACATGTCTGAGCAAGGTGGACTCCCACTTTGGGTAAAGTTCCATCTTCTAGTAGAAATAAATAACTCTCGAAGTCTCTGCCTCTCTAACAAATACTTCCTCAGTGTATGCAGAAGTAACCACCCGTGAAGGCCTCATGACATTACTGGCCAAAGATGTAGGTTTCTGTATTTATAAATATAGAGTCCAGAGGAGAATTGCCTGCCCTGAAGTAGAGGACCTGGAGATGGAGGACGGTGTGGATAGGTGTGTGTGTGAGTGTATGTGCGGGGCCAGGGCAGAAGGGGGACAACCTTCTGTAACTATTACTGCCAAAGGGCCAATGGGTAGGAGGGGGGCCTCAGGAGGAAGCACTGGACAAAAGGGAGAGTTGGCTGAGCAAGGAAAGGGTTAAAACAGTAAAAGCCCTGCTAATTGTCCCCGGGCTCCCAGATAGAGAAGAGGAGGAAAGCCCCTCATATGTGAAAAAGGAGTATGAGAGACTACCTGCCTCTGTCCTTGTCTCTGAATGCCAGGCTCCGTCACCTCCTGGTGCACTTGTCACATGTAGCAACTAAACTGTTTAAGCCACAGACCCAAGTGTCCCAGCTTGTCCCAAACACATGCTAGCAAACTTACCAAGTGGACTACTAATGACTGCCATTATTCTAGTCAAAGACTTTCAACAAAGGCAGATGAACTCAGTGACCACGAACTCAAACCCATACTAGTGAAAGGTTCAAGGGTTCTTACCACACTCCCATTTTTAGATAGATGTTATTTTGAGCAGAAGGAAACAGCACCTGTATGCCCCATACTCTGTCTGTGCCTTATACACTGGGACTTCAAGCCTTTGGGGGCTGCATAATCCTGGATCCATCCCTCCTTCCCTGGGAGAGCATAAAGTCTTTCAGATCACAAATTGCATTCAACATGGTTCTCCACTTATCAAAGCCATTTGAATTACAGAGTTGCCAGAAATTAGAGCAAATTACAGGATCAGGAAGCCTACCCCCAACATGCACACCAAAGAACATTTGGCTGAGCAGAAATGTAAAACTAAGCCAAAGGTAAAAGTTTTGCTTGAAAAACTACACTGTGGAAATATACCTACATCAGTTATTTTTAACCTCTGGAAAGTTATAAGTTGCTCATTGATTTGTAGCCTTCTTTGTTCACATCCACTAAAACAAGGGCCCATTTTTCTCTTGAACCATCAATTTGGAATTTCCATGAAAGTTGATAAACCTCACCTATACCTGCTGAGCTACTAAAACATTTTTAGGGTAGAACTTGCTAAACTTTATCATACATCCTCCTCCCCCTATGCTACCAATTGGAAACATCAATTTATTGCCCAGATTAATAAGAAAATTAATTACTGAATAACATTATACCCTGAATGGAAACTGGAGTCACAGAAGGTGAAGGTTACCTTTACCTGAGCTTAAAACAAACATGAAGAAAAAAGTACATCAAACTTAAAACCAAGAGCCGCTATGCCCACATCTCTTGCTCACAGATGACAAAATACATACTTCTGGAACAGAAATATCTGCACAGGGAATTAAGCCCTACACTACCCCCTACTTCCTAATTAAACCACCAAAACATCAAACCAAACAGACCATTGTAGCCCTGACCTACAGAATCTACTGACATCAGAGTTCAAGTGTGAAATCACCCCTTATACAACTGTGATCACTCCTCTTTGGACTTTAAATGTGACTTATTTTCTTAACGTAAAATAATCCTAAGAAGAAAGCACATAAGAACTGGAGAAATGAGCAGTGTATACTCTGGCACTGTAACAGGCATCCTTGTAAGGATGTTCTGGGTCTGGCTACCTCAAAACATTTATCCCTGGCAGAAAAGTAGCAGCGAGGTAACAGAAGTATGTCTAAAACCCAGGCTGGGATTTGTTGTGCCTTCAGCTGGCAAAATCCAGAAAATATGACGACAGCCATTTCTAGCAGTGGCCACCCAAGAAGGCAGTCACTAATATTTGTCAATTATGATGAAATCAAATCCAGTAGCTCTCTGGGAGAGATCTGAATTAGTAGTGGTGAGAGGCTATTTCCTGAACCCCAAATTAGAATACTTCATAAACCTCTACAGTCTCCTGCTTGGTCCTGAAATGAGAGACAATGGGTGAAACCAAATAATTTTCAACCCTTGTTGTTAATTTACATTTCTTACTACATAACCAAGAAATTACCAAGAAATTACAAACGTTTAACCTGTCATTACATCACCAAGCTAGACAATACCTGGAGAGTAGAGGCATCACTGCTGTCATAACTTTTAACTCCACAAACTCCATCGGTACCCCCATTAAAGGATAGGGCCATACCTCCATCTTAGAGCTGTTCCTGGGCCACACAGAAACTGATGCCTTCGGAAAGGTCTGTGCGGTGATGAGAATAATTTTTTGAAATGTGGAGAGAAAATATGAAACATTTTAATGTCAGGCTGCTTATTTATGTTCTTTCCTGTCAACTGGATAGCTGGATAACAAATGGACCTACAAGTGAACAGAAAGTTGAGATTTCTTTCCTTCTCCTCCATGCTATCAACAAGAGTCTTTAAATGTCCTGGAAGATTCTGAGACAGATTTTAATTTTGAACACAACCTCCTAAAAAGTGAGGTATAAAACTATCTTCAACTTCTAATTTCCAAATTTGATAACTACCAATGCATGTGTTTAAACTGAGATGCATAAAAGCCTTTCTCCTCAAAAGGCTTAGATTTAACTAAAATTGTTACTTTTAAAAGAAAGTTTATGGCTAAAATGTATATTTTTTTTTTGAATATGATTGTGTCTGGGAGCCCATTTTCACTAGAAAGCTGGAAGTCTTCTATCAAATGGATTTATAATGTGTTTCTTCTATTTTGGTGATTAAACAGTAACCTCTTGGTGAGTGAATTGTTTTTATTTTTACAGTGATCACCTATCAAATTGTTTTGCTTTGATATTATAACCCCAAGCTGGAGTTCAAGATTCCTAGACACACGGTGGTCTAAGAACTGCAGTTCTTGAGTCCAACCTCCTGGAAGAGTGAAGTATAAAACTCTGGCTCCAACTGCTTGTTCCGGTACTTGTTGACAATGTCGGTGATTTTTTGTTTCCGGCGGACATGTGGTGGACTATAGGAGTCACTCTCCAGTCTCTTTCTTCTACAAATATTAATTACAGTCTGCCTCACCAGAAAACCTTGAAAACAGAGGGTTTTAAAATCGATGTGAATAACCAGTCAGGTAGGTGAACTATCAGTACTGAAGTGAACAGAATTCAAACTATTATCAATCCATTTGCAAAACTCCCCGTCCCCAGAAAGACAGAGGTCCACTAAGATAAAACTGTCAGAAGAAACACACGATGACAAGAAAAAATAAAGTAAAAATCTAGTCTGACAACCCAATTCCTGCCCTGGATTATAAACAACTATTTTCTTTCCAAATACTGGAAGTTTGTGAATTATAGTTGTACTCATACTTACTAGATTAAGTGCAGTTCAGAATAGGACAAAATATCCTTCCTTTTTAATAAGATCATGGCATTTTTTACATGTGGGAACTATTAAGTAATACCAGTTTCCTTATTTTTAATTGTTTGGTTCATAAACATGTTAAAGAAAAAAAGAAAGAAAACGTAACCCGCCAACCACATGCGAAGACCTCACCGAGCGCTCGCCTGCTGACGATCATCCCATCCACAAGAGGGATGACCATGTTAAACTTTCCAGTGGCTCCTTGAATTTTTATCCGGAATAATCCAGTGTTTAAAGGGTGGATGAAGATGACGGGAACTTCTTTTTCAAGAGTGGTAGATCTTAAGAAAAGAAAACTCTTTTTACCCCAGATAATCAAGTATTGAAATCTTTCATGTATAATATAAGAATACAAGGGGCCTGTTGCCATGCAGGGTCTGAGAAGGGCTAACGAGTCAGTCTGCTCAGAGTCCTCTTTCTGGGAGCCCATGATGAAGCCCTCCACCAACACCTGACCCTAAGTACTCATCACTGGGGCCAGGCTTTTAAGCTGAGAAAAAAGGCACTAAAATGTACTTAGAAAACCCCTGGGGACATGAGGTGGAAAAAGGGCCCAGAGAAAGCTACTATGGGAAGCTACAAATCTAGCAAGCACCCATGGGACTTTCACTTAGATCCTCCTCCTTGTAGGGAACAAAAGTGGACTGCTCTGAGTGCAGGGAATTCCCCTGCAGTCAATGCTAGCATCTGAGAGCAGAAGTAGGAGTATAGCTTAGGCCTATTATGGGAACTCCTGATATAATTTGTTTTCAGGGGTTGGGGGAGGAGGCTGGGAGGGCCTCTTCAGCAGAGAAGATAAATGGCCACATCTTGGCAGAGCCAAAGCCATCAAAGCCTCTGAACAGGTAACAGGAGTACCTTTGAAAGACTGAGTTACATATCATGTGTCCGGGACATGCCAATGCATCTAGAGGTACCTGTGTGAGTCTGTGACGCTATATGTCAGGGTTGGTATTTTTCTTTTGCAACACAATGAGCTTTCTGTCTATATAGGTAAAGTGACTTTACCCAAAGCAACAATGAGTCAACTTTTCAAGACATTAAATAAAATTCAATCCTATACTAATTCCATCCTCAAGGCAAATTCTAATACAAATTTTACAGTCTAATCACATTAGAACTGTTGACCTAAAAAGATCAAAAAATATATATATGAGACACTTAAAAGTTCTCTTCCAAACTAGTTCTAAAAAAGTCCATCTCATAAAACTATTCTAGTCTCTTCAGCAAGTCAGTGTCATGGAGAAAAAATAGAAATAGGACTGCTTTGAATTAAAAGAGACTGAAGCAATTAATACAGGATCAAGCTCCTGGAATGGATTCTAGTTTGAACAAACCTAGCTATAAAGATGTTTTCGGGAAAACGGAGAAATCTGAATGTAAACTGGTTATCAGATGAAATTTAGAAATTGTTACTAACTTAATGATTATGATGTTATCTTTATTTTAAAAGTGTTTTTAATTTTTAGAGATGTATACTGATATATTTAGAATGTTAGGATATCTGTAATTTGCTTTAAATACTTTAGCATAAAAAACGCAATGTTTTCAGATGACTTGCCCTGTTCTAGAAATTTTAAAATTATAGTTATAACAAATCGACTTTACTTGCTTCATTTCTACAACAATAATCTTAACAATGTTAGATGTAAATATTGTAAAATGTAAATTCATCTTACATGCAATACAAATCAAATCATGTAAATAGAGGGAATTTATTCAAAGTTAAAATATCAAGTTTAACTTGATATCAAGGGTAGTTCTGTGAGACATGAGAGATGAGGTTAGCATTTAGGTTCAGATCCTTTTTTATTTACTGAATTTGTGATGCTGAGGAATAAGCACTATGAGTCTATTTCACCACATCTGTAAATTGAAGATGATAACTGTACCCCTGGAGTTATTTTAAAATATTTGTTTAAACCAAAAACAAGCAAGCAAAAAACCTTGAAACTATAATGCCTCTACAGATACACTGTTACTATTCTTGCAATCATTTTTTTTTAATCCTTTTTGTGCATGGGCAGCTAAAATAGAAATCTTACCATAATAATGAAGTTAGTATTACATTTTACTTAGAAATATTTTTCCATTAAATAGCTCATGTGATGAGGATATTTTAACTACCTATCCAGAATGTTTTGACCAATTTAATTCAAATACTTCCATCTAATATTGCTACCCTATTATCACAGTCTTCATTAATATTTAATTGCCTTCACATCTCCATTTGTCTTTTTGCTGCAGATAAATATAAAATAGCAATTAATTATGCCATTTGAAAATGCTGCTAATTTGTTCACCTTGTGCATTTATCTATAAATTTGTGATTCTTTTTCCTTAACTGTGTTTATTATTGCCTTCATCCCTTCTGTTTCATTAAGTCTATTTCTTGATTAAACTGAAATCAACTTATTTGAAAAATAAGTTTCTCAGTGCTTAAAGAAATACTGATAAACTTCAGCAAATAAGAGCGTACCTTAGAGAAGTGCTACTATTTGCAGTAGTTTCCACACCAGTACTAATTTCTGTCATCAGGTCTGAGAGGGGAAAGTTTTCTGGAAGAAAATAATAGCATTACAATTAATATCTCCCTCCAATTTCCCAAATAGAAAATCTAATTTCCTAATCTCTTTACATAAGCAGGCAATAAATATATATATATGTCTGTGCTGTCCTACAATATATAATCCTAACTATTCCTCATAAATAAAAATAACTCTCTCTCAAGACATTTTAGTTAAGTTCATCTAAAGCAGAGAGTCTTTAGAGAACATAGTAGTCTTTGAGGGCTTAGAAAGGGTTTTGGAGAGACTGAAAAGCAACTATATCACACTTTTCCACAAACTCTGAACTGGATGAGATTCCAGGCTATGCTTTTCTAATGCTCTTATGTTGCTTATATAAAAGTCATGAGGAACTTATCCACAACAGAATTCCTGAGGACAAATTAATCTTCACGTTAAAACTAGACAGTATGGTTCATGCAAAGAGGGTGAGTGAAGTGCTCCCCCTTCCCCTTTCCAGAGGTCCTGTGAATGATTGGGACTAACTGGCAATAAATCATTAAGTCATACCAAACATAGCCAAAGACTCTGTATTCACTAGTCTCATCGAATCTTCATGACAATGAAATAAATAGGTGCCATGACAGTCTCCATTTAACAGATAAATAATCTAAGGCTTAAGGAAATTAAGTGAGTGATGGAGCTACGATACAAACCCAGGCTTGCTGAACTCCAGTCCCAGTTCCCGGCCACCACATCATGCCTATCCTGCCGCTCCTTTAGACATTTAGCAAGTCACTGTCATTCTATTATAATTTTATTTATGGAGAAAGTCCTTATACAGTACCTATATCATCATAGCGTTCTACCCACACTACAGAAACTCTTGTCTCAGGTCCGAGGGGAGGCACAGGGCGACCCTGAGGCAGTTTCTTCATTCTGGAACTGGGACTGAGCTACAAGGGGCAGAGAAAAGCAGAAGAGGAGGCAAAAAAAAAAAAAAGGGCTTAATAAAACTAAAATTATACATTCATCAAGCTGCCCAGCATCATAAGGATTAGGTCATGGGAAATCAGTTTAGAAAAACTATGTGAAAGACATTTGCAAACAAGCTCTTCTTTGGCTCCTTTCTTTATCAAATCTCAACCTAGAACAAGGAAACGAAGGCCTAAAATCCTCAAAAGAAAAAAGGGCAAGGAATATCAAATAATTATAATTGACGTTAATAAAAATAAAATTTGCGGGCAATATCTAATTAGCACTTAAAAGGACTTGAGTCTGTCTATGTGGCTAGAAAGCAGTATGCTCTCCCCATCACAACAGCATCACTAATTTGTCTGGGGATCCTTATCTCTTAAATGTCCCACCAGCAAACTGTTCTCAGACCAACTGCAATCTAGGCTACAAAAATTCCTTTTTTTTGTCAGCAAAAAGAAAAAAAAAGTTGCTTGGGTCTTCACTATTATTCAGTTTTCTCCTGGCTTCCCTGCCCACCCAATCAGCTTTAAGTTTCTTTGAAAGGCTAGCAGGCCTATGTGGCTCTCCGTTAGCAACTGGCACTCTGAGCCCCATCACTTTCAAGGCATGCAGCAGAGCTAAGTTTATGCTAAAGCCTTAACGAAGCTATGTGTACCGAGAGGGAATCTCATACCTAAGTTGAATTTAAAAAATAAAATTGCTTTATTAACACAAAAAATATACGTGTCTTTATCAGATTACCAGAGACCATGGCAAT